CCACACACACACACACACACACACACACACACACACACGGTATTCAGAGGTTTGATACTTGCTGGCCGTGGATTTGCATGATGTGCTTTCTGCCAACCTTTTACTCTCTGTACATTTAATTCAGTCAATCGACAGAAATACTGTACTGTGTAAAGTAGTCAGGTATTGGAGCAGAGCAAGCGATGTACTGGTACCTGTAGTTGAACAAGAGCGTCTCTGTCTCTCACTCACACACAGACGTGCAACTCACACACCTATGTTGCTGTGCAGCAAGCGACTGCAACAAGAGAGATAACAGCAGGACAACAAACACACACAGGATCACAAGCACTACCATGGTCAGAGTAAAAATAGGGTTCTTAGCACAGTAGCAGGAGTATTGCCCAGACTTGCCTTCCCTTGCTTACACACTTAATGTAATTGAAGTGAAATGTGTGATTTCCGTCAGACCTCTCCTCCTCAGTGACATTTGAACTTCAGCCGTAGTTCTTCTCCAAAGCTCGATGTTAGGTTAGAAACTAACCAAATAGTGTTTAGGATCCCAGAAATGCAGACACAGACAAAATACAATAACAAAAATGTTTATTATCTAAAATTCAAAACTGACAAATCTATCAAAGGTGTTAATCTGTGGAATAATTTCGAAACGGACCTGAAAATGAGTAAATCGCTTGAGGAGTTCAAAAACAAATTTAAAAAAAAATAGTACAAACAACCTACATCAATCAGAGTTAAAATGATAAATTCTAAACATTAAATATAATGATAAATCAGAACTAAGTTGATAAATAAAGAAAGGTATGGAAATATCCATTATGAATACAAGAGAAAATTGACACAAGAGTGCCAGGGTATGTATGTATGAAATCCCGATACAAACCAAAAGTTGTAAAAATATCACGGTTAAGGGTAAAGCATGAGCCTTAATGGAGACTTCTTTCTTCTTACTTTCTTTCTTTTCTGATTGATATAAAAATGATTTATTAGACATAAACACATAACACGGGGTAGGACTAGATAAGTTCCTTACTTCTTCCTACTCCCTTGAACATAATAACTGTTGAATGATGACTGATTTCTCTTTCCTTTTACTATTTTACTTACCTTACTTTCTGTCAAATTATTACTTGTGTTTTATGTTCAATAAACAAATGAAACGAAACGAAACAAAGGCCAAAAACAGAAAACGCTAGTCACAAGGACCTAGGGAAAAACGTGGAATCAACAAAAGCCGCTTGATAAAGGCAAGGTCATGGAATACCGAGAATACAAACAAAATGACAAGAGTCCAATTAACACGACAAACAAAAGCAAGTTCAAATGACCAAACGATGATATTTACAAAACGTGGAACTAGGGATCAAGAACGACTTTGACGAGATCGAGAGGTCTAGACAAACAACACTGGAGCAAGAGCAGCAACAAGGTCAATAATCCGACAAGCACATGGGATCTTGGCAGTCCTTAATTACATGGCGTAAACATGTTGATCAAATTGGCAGCAGTTGTGCATGCTGGAAGAGAAGCCTTACACTGCCATCTGCTGGAGAAACACAAGAACAGGATCATGACACACGTGATGTTCTCTCCAAACATTAAGATGAGAGATGATAGGTCCCCTGTTTACATGGAGAAGCTGCAGCTCTTCATTCATTGTATCAGTAGCCAGCAGTGTTGTTTTGCTGTCAAGATCATGTGACAGTATGGAGTCACCGTGGACCTCTCACAGAAATGATGCCCGGGTTCTTTCAACAGCCGAGATGTAACTGTGCTTCTCCACAATGTAATTATGATGCCATAGCTACGTCTATTGTTCAGTCATTTCTAATCCCTCCCATTCTCCACATTCCTCTGTGGTTGAATTGGAAGCCGTTGTCTTTCATTCTCTCCTGTTCTATGGAGATTCAACTGTGAAATTGTGAATAACATGAAATGACCTGTGATTTTTATTTTTTTTGACACACTTTTTTTTTTCTTGTTCTAATTTTGCCAGGGCTTTCTCTGGAAGACATGGTAGGTTGTTAGCACATACAGATTACCCAATAATTTTCTTCTCGTTATGTTCACCTATTGTTTTCCTTTTTGGGTTTAATGATTTATTCCATGTTTTTTTTCCCACAGAGCGTGATGCTTTTGACACCCTGTTTGACCATGCACCGGATAAACTGAATGTTGTCAAAAAGGTAGTGATGCTTTGCACAAGCACTGATGATTCATGAACCACATATTTATAATATGAAATGTCTTAAAGCAAACATTTAACCACAAGTAAATATGTCAACATTGAACTCCAGCAAAGTACCCAAATTCAGCACTTTGGAGCAAATACACCTAGAGCATCATCAGCTAAGCTGTTCAAAGCAAATCATCTTGGACTGTGAGAGATAGTCCCAAATGGACCTTCTTGAGGCTGCTTCCAAATGAAGCTAATATTGGCTGGGTCTGTAAGAGGGGAGAGTCACAACTAGGGGGGATACACAGCAGTGCAGCCCACCGTTGTCCAAGCATTATTCCTTTTAATAGAACTTATTTTTCATTTCTCTCCGTAGGGTTTTTTTTTTTTTGGTGTCTGATCAATGAGTGACTTTGTGTTTTCTTAGACACTGATCACATTTGTGAATAAACACCTGAACAAGCTCAACTTAGAAGTTTCTGAATTGGAAACGCAGGTATGACGCTCGTACACACACACATAACATGTAAATGTCTGCCTGAGAGGGTATAGAGGTAAAACATTTCTGCACCACTTAAATGGGAATGGGTCAGGACATTTTTTTTGGGGGGGGGGGCACCGTCTTATTCTCGGGCCAATACGGTAATTCAGATTTTGCCAGGCAAATATTCATTTGATGAATCAGTGATTAACGACTTTTCTTTCTTTCGCGACATAAAGCGGTTCATGCGAAGAGTATCGTCGCCATCCTCCATCTGCTGGTAGCACTGTCACAACACTTCAGAGCACCAATCAGATTGCCGGACCATGTTTCTATTCAAGTCGTCGTGGTCCAGGTGAGCGTCAACACCATGGTTGTGTTTGCATTTTTGTGCTATTTTGTCTGTGTTAATTTTTTTACGAACTCTTTCCAAGTGTTTCCGGATATGTTTGGCATAATTTTCCTGTCAGAATGACATAGCTCTTCTCTGGCTTTCAGAAAAGAGAGGGTATCCTGCAATCCAGACAAATTCAGGAAGAAATCACTGGGAACACAGAGTAAGTAATAGAACTGAACAAGTAATAGACTTTTGATGTTCACCCAAATACGTACAAGTGATACCGCCTCGGGCAGCCCAGTTGTCCAGTGGTTAGCGCGTCCACCTCACAGTGCGGCGGTTCCGAGTTCAATTCCAGCTGCGGCCTCCCTGTGTGGAGTTTGCATGTTCTCCCCAGCCTGCGTGGGTTTTCTCCGGGTCCTCCGGTTTCCTCCCACATTCCAAAAACATGCATGGCAGGCTTATTGAACGCTCTAAATTGTCCTTAGGTGTGAGTGTGAGCGTGGATGGTTGTTTGCCCTGTGATTGGCTGGCAACCGGTTCAGGATGTCCTCCGCCTACTGCCCGAAGACGGCTGGGATAAACTCCAGCACGCCTTACGACCCTTGTGAGGATAAGCAGATCGGAAAATGGATTGTTGGATGGATGATACCGCCTACCAAAAGTTGCATCTCTACCACAAGGAAATATCCTTTCAGCCTTGGGTCCCACACTGAAGATTTGCTTACAGAGCACAAAGACTTTCCATT